GTTGGCCCAGGACCAGGCAGTGTTTCATTCTGCTGTGCATAAGGCCACTATGAGTTGGTACCGACTCAATGGCACCTGACAACAACAATGACGACAACAACAACCATCATTCATTTTCAAGAATTCTGTCACTTAACACATATATGGCATCATATCCATGAAACCTGTCTGGTGAATCCTGTGAGAGCCGGAATTTGGCAGAACTGTCTTGTTTCCACAGGACTCATGAGTTTTTCTGCTTTGACAAGTCTGACCACTTTTCTGTCACTCACTTTAATGGAAAGTATTTGTGTTTTCCTTCTCTGAAAGGTTTCCACCTTGCACAGGGTCCAGCAGGTTTCTCTGCACAAGGAGGCTTCAGAAAGTGTATGGGGAAATTATACTTTAATTCCATTTTTCTTCATACTTTTTGGATCCCCACGGAGCTCTGGTGGCATAGTGGGTTACATACAGTGCTGCTAACTGCAACGTCCACAGTTCAAGTGCAGCAAACGCTCCGCAGGAGAAATTTGAGGCTTTCTGCTCCCGTGAAGATTTACAGCCTCAAAAACTCTACACAGGGTGGCTATGAGTCAAAACTGACTCAACACCAACTGTCTATAGTAAGGAGTCCTGGTGACACGCTGAGTTAAGCATTGCATTACTAACTGCAAGATCAGTAGTTCAAACCCACCAATCACTCCTCAGGAGAAGAATGAGGCTATCTGCTCCTATAAAGACATACAGTCCCAGAAACCCTGTGTAGAGTTGCTGTGAGTCAGAATCAACTCAGTGGAAGTAAGTTCGGTTTTGGCACAGAGTACTTACTCAGTGTGAAACCCCCCACTTCCAGTCCAGCCTCACAGATCCCTGAGAGTAAGAAGGGTCATTACCTATCTTCTAAAGCAAGCAGAGAAAAGGAGGTTTATTTCTGTCTAGTATCATTTCTTCTAATAAAAATACTATGGATCACTAAAGATAGCTATACATCAATAAATATTTTCATTCTTTCAACCACAAAGCTCTCTGAAAAAGAGTGTCATTGACTCTATTCAGACTCATGGTGCCTCCGTGTGAGTCAGAGGAGAACTGTGCCCCACAGGGTTCTCAGTGGATGATTTTTCATAAGTAGATCCCACTCATGGTGCCCCCATGTGTGTCAGAGTAGAACTGTGCTCCACAGGGTTCTCAGTGGATGAGTTTTCAGAGGTACATCACAGGCTATTCTTCCAAATCATCTCTGGGTAGACTTGAACCTCCACTCTTCAGTGAGCATCCACACATGTCCACAATTGGCACCACCCAGGGACTCCAAAAGC